AGAGATAAATTAGGAGTTTGGGATTAGCAGATACAAACTATTATATGTAAAATAAATAAACAACATGGTCCTACTGTGTAGCACAGGAAACTATATTCAATATCTTACAATAAATTATCATGGAAAAGAATCTGAAAAATGCTCTTAAGACATTTCAGAACAGATAGAGATTTAGTAATACAGATTATGTATAATTCTGATTTGTTCATAATAATTGAACACACTAGTATATTGAAAAGTATTCTAAGACATATATATTGATGTCCTCTAGAGAAAAGGTACCTCAGTGAGAACAGTGGTAATTTTACTGTAGTTAAATATTTGTAAGTGAACTTTTTATTTAAGATTGACATTTGCTACCATTTGGAATTTTTCCTGTTATTTTCTTTGTAGTGTTTACTTACCGTTTTCTCTTTTTTAAAATCAATTTTGCAGAAGAAGAAATCTTGAGTAAGAGCCTTGATGCAAAAGAATCTCCATCTGACTTGAGAAGATGAAGCAGTAGCCCAGTCAGTTTAATTATGCACTTAAATTACACCAGTGTCATAGGATAAAAACTGATTTATAATTTAAATACACATTGTCAGTGTAGCTGTATTTCAAGGTGCAAAAAATCCTAGATAATGCCTTTTAGCCTTCACTCTTGTTTTCAGGTAAGGAGAGTATGTTTGGATTTTGTCTCTCTATATGGATAAAGGATTGAAATGTGAAGTATTTGGAAAGTAAACATCAATTTATGTGAAGCCATTTTGATTTCTTAAGTAATCTGGTAAGCATTAAGTAAATGGCAAAGTAGTAGTTTTGACTAATTTATTATGTTATAATTTGTTTTAACATAAGGATGAGTAGTTTGTGATGTACTTTCATTAAGTGGTTAACATAGTAGCCATTGAATATATTGATCTTTCTTTTTAGGGAAATGTACAACTTTTATTGTTTCTTTATGGAACATTCTGATACGAAACAAAAAAATTGAGAAAAATTTTTTTTAGGGTGTATACTCAAAATGACTAAGTTTGGGAAAGTTCTGAATAGGTTTTATGATGATTCAAGTAGGTTGATCCTGAAAAATGATGTTTGATGGAATAAAGTGCATGTGGTGGTGATAGTGAAGAATAGAGCAGAATGGATTTAGAAAAAGGAGAAAGATGGAAGATGACTAGACACAAATTTTGAGGGACATTATAAATCCATTTAGTGGGTTGTATAGCAGTTTTACATTTAGTCTAATTTAGACTTTGAGAATTTAATTTAACCCTAGTTTTTTTTAACAAACGTAAATTAAAAAATTAGTCTGTGTTTATTGTTTTTTTGGGGGGGGGGCATTGTTTTGGGGGAAGGGAGATAATTTTGTTACTTTCCTCAAAAATCATGAGTTCCCCACTGTCTACAAAATTAGCCTCAAAATAGCTTAAGAAAACTGAACTTGGGGTTAAAATAACTTGTTCATTGTCACACAGCTAAGTCAGCGGTGAAACTAGGATTTGACCCTATTTTCCTTCCTTAATATACCAACAAGACCTCTTAGAAGTAACTAAGGGCTGGGATGTAGGATGTGGCTGTAGGAGTGGACATCCAACTGACCTTCTGGACTCTGAATGGGAGTCAGATGTGAGGCCTCTCACAGTGTCCTGCCTCACTTAAGTCATGACCTCTGGCCAAGAAAAGGGCTTGTCTTTAGCATCCAAGTGAATACATACCATTGTCCTCTGTGAACCAGGAGGAATGAGCTGAGTGTGCACTGGAAGGGTGATAGCACCTACCATACTCCTGTGTGAAGCCCCAACTCTTAACCATCAAAACCTTGTCCATTTGCCAAGAGTTGAAGGGCAGAGCTCTGGAAGTGGATGGTCTTGATAAGTTCATTTCTTCACTCATTTGGGCTTATTTTGGGCTTGTTTGATTCCAGTTTGAAGGCCACTCTTTTTGTGAAAGAGAAGAAAAGCACATATAACTACTACCTTTTTGCAGTGGAAAAGAAAGAGGAAGAGAAAAGCTTCTCCTAAGGTGCTATGTTTTATTAGTTAATACAACAAATTAGACTCTGCAGGTCTGCTGCGAAGTTATTCTCTAGTCTACCTTAAGAAACCCAATATCTATAAATCCAAAATTAACACGTTAGGGAGGAGGTAGACCTGTCATATTAGCATCTACAAAGTGCCAGAACCATTCCTAGATACTTAATACATATTATATCTTTTAATCTTATACCTCTGTAAGATACTGATTATTATACCTATTTTACATATAATAATACCAAAGCTAGGGAGCTTAAATGACTTTCTAAAATAGACTCAAGGAATCATCTGGGATACATCTTTAAGGAAAATGTAGATTCTTTAAGTCTAAAATGGAGATTAAGAATCTGTAGTGTTTTAAATATGTTTCCCTGGTCATTCTTCACCTCAGAAAAAAGCTTGAGAACCAATGCTAGGGGATATAGAGTCACATTTAGCCCTGGGGCACCTTAAAGAAGCCAGGTACATGATCACATACCTTACTACTTTAGGGATTGTTTGCTATCTGATAAGGAAGCTAAGTTCACCAGTAAGTGTGGGCCCTGAATTACTGAGAATCAAAAGATCAAAGTATCTTTGGATATTATGGAGTTATAAAAACTACATTGTTGTTAAGTGAGTCCTACTTGTGATAGGTTGAGCTTTTGGCATTCTTCCCTGTCATTTGTATGCCAGTATTATAAACAAAAGTATCTCTGTCACTTTCTCCTAAATCATTTTGATTATGATTTACTGCTTTCAACCTCTTCCTTACGTAACCAATACTGCTCACATAGCTACTTTTTGACCTTAAGGGATTGCTTTGATCATGTCAGTTCCTTGTTTAATGAAGTGACTGTTCAGTGGAACATCTCTTTGTTCCATTAATGCTTCATTTGCTAATTCCAGAGTAGAGTTCAAATTTAAAGGCATATAAGGTCCCTTCCATAGGTTCCTCTATTCCCCCTTCCACTTGATCTTCCACATTTTACTGAAATGCTTTGCTGAGCATGGGTCTTTAGAAATCTTAATTCACATTTCTGAAGCTAGAATATCTTACCTTCATCTCCCAGCTAATCACATTTTTAGCTGTGCTTTAGGGTTCAGAACAAATCTCACTCTTACCTTGAAGTTCTTTATCCACGGGCCTATCCTTTCTCTGAAATCTATTATCTTAACTTTTAGTCACTTAGTGTTTTTCATTTACTGCTTTTATCATTTTTTTCACGGTTGGATGTGATTTCTCCAGTTATATTGATTATATACATACAGACATACCTACGTAGATGTGTGTATGGCTTGTGTCCACACATACATATGCTCCAAGGGCCATAGATCATCCTTAGCAGATATTGAAGTACTGGAATTGTTTTCTTTGCCTCATAAGTGATGGAATTAAAGGAATGGTAAAGAGGGAGGGCTCCTTTGTTGCTGTAAGAGTACTTTTTCTCATTACATTCATAGCAGAATGTACCTTATTTTATTCACTGTTCATAAGATGAAGGTGTATTAACTGACTTCTGTATCAATATGAAACTTTAGATAATGCCAGTATGTCCTAATTGTCTTAAATGTTTAAAGAGGACAAGCATGTAATGTTGCTTAACATATTAACATGTTATCAAGTGGAATAAAGATAATAATGTTAAAGAAAGTCATTTTGGGGGAATTTAATTGAAAACAAAAATACCAGTATTTTGAAACTGTTCTTTACCATGTGTTTCTTTCTTAAAAATTTTTAATTTTTAATTTTTTAAAATGGAGATACTGGGGATTGAACCTAGGACTTCCTGCATGCTAGCTACCACTGAGCTATACCCACCCCTCACCTTCCCATGTGTTTCTTAACCATGATCTATGAAGTCAGTTTTACCTAAAGACAGAAATTCTTGAGACCTCTATAAAAGGAAACCTTATTTTTTCCTTGCTCTGAGTATACTGAAATTAATGAAAATTTGTTTAAGGACACTTTCCTCAATGTAAAGAAAGTATTTGCTAAAGTAAAATACCTTTTTATAAAGGTTTTGAAATTCCCTATCACTTATGTTTAATGTCTGTATAGAGATAATGCCTCATTTGTAAAATGAGAGGTGAGGAGTTGATCAGAGGTCTCTTGGCTCAAAGATGGGATACTTAGATTTCATTTCAGACAATCTATAAGGCAGCTGAAGTGGGGCATTTTAGTCTGTTTTTTTGACTTCACTATACCATATTGCCATTCCAAAATCGGAACCTTAGAATCCTTCCCCCAAGGTATGTAACCTAAGAATCTGGTTCAATATAATCCAATTTCCAGATAGATACAGGTGGGAAAGCAGTCTTGCCCAAAGTGAAACACTACTCTTTGAGAGATGTCACTTCCTGGGCTTTAGTTTACTCAAATCTATAAAATCAGGGAAATTATATGAAGGAATAATGCACACCTAAAAAGATAGAAGGAAGTAGTGGCATGTAATGGTTAGGATCTGAAATCATACTGCCTAGGTTCAGCTGCATGACCTTAATAAGGTCATATCAGTTTTCTCATCTATTAAAATACAAATAAAAGTAATTACCTCACAAGTTGTGAGTGTTAAATAAGAAAACACACCTCAAGTATTTAAGAATACCTGGCATTTATTAAGGGCTCAACTACTGAGCTAGGCTTCACATCCAGTAATTTGGGAGTGGGGAGGAGGACTGGCTCAGTAGGTGGGTACTGACAGCTTGACAGTACTGAGTATGTGCCAGGCACCATTCTAAGTGCTTTTCATGTTTTAATTCAACCTTAACAATCCAGTGAGGTAGTGCTATTCTTAACCATATTTTACAAAAGAGAAAACAAGCACAGTAAAATTAGGTACCTTGCCCAGTTCACAGAGCTAGTAAGTGAAGACTGGAATATTAACCCAGGTTGTCCAGCTCTAGCCCATTCTCTTAACCATACTGCTACAGTTGCTATGAAACATTGCTAAAACAATGGGGGCTGAGATCACAAAATCAAATTCACCAGTTAAGCAATACTTGTAGGTAATCAGAATCTATAGATTTATTATTAACCACCTTCAAGTTATTTCAAATAAGACCATATTTTAAATTGCTAACAGCAAATGTTTATTCATGATTGAAGCCAAGAATTTATAAATGTATTTTAATACCTTGCTGATAAAATAACATTCCATCTTTGCAATCTGGTAAGCAATACAGGAAGATACTGTAAAAGCTTTGATGTGTATATCTATTATAACCAGGTATTCAGAACACACATACACACACACACACACACACACACACACACACCACCTACTTTAGTGTTACACCATACCAACTTTTCAGAAAGGCCATCTTGAAGCTCTACTGGATAGCTGAGTAAATAGCGTCCAAGGCTTAAGGACTGGGGAGCAGGGAAGAGAGAGATGGAAGTAGTAAGCAGCACACATTTCAAAGCCCACTTTTAAGCACACGACATTATGAATATTAAGAAAAAAAGATGCGGGGGGTGGGAGGAGGCAATTCAGCATTTTCAGAAAGCGCATTTGGCAATATTCAACGCATAAGGAGGCTGTGCTTGGGACCATCCACTCTCTCCAGCTTCTCAAAGTGTTTCCTGGCATTGCGAATGTTGATCAGAGTAGCTGCAGAAGGGATGGACGGATCTGACATAACCACCATCACGTACGTGTTTGATGTGAAGATGTCGATGAAAGCAGCGAAGTTAGAATTCCTTACTTCCATGCTCTGGAAAGAAGCGGCCAATTTACTGCAGCTCAGCTTGAACTGCTTAATAATGTTGCTGATCTTCTCGAACCGGTGGACGTCGCGCTGCTCTTTGCACTGGTAATGGGAAATGACCAAGAACGTCGCTCTCTCGAACAGCAGAACTTCGTCGGCCTCGATAATTTGGGCAAAATTGCTGAGGTTCATCTCCAGCTGCTGCACATTGGGAATCAACTGATAGACAATACTGGACCAGGCTTTGTAGAGCGTTTCATCCCAGATGGATGTTCGAAAACAAGCGCACTCCAGCGGGCGAGACAAACGCCTCAGGTCTTCCTCTCGCTCTTTAAAAATCAGGTCACGCTGATCCTCCTGAACCAGATCCATTTTGTGCACCAGGCAGAAGATTTTGGCATCAGGAGAGTTCTGGAGGATGGCCTCCAGACACGACTGGTAATAATGCATGTCCTTCTCCAGTTCGCGGCTCTCCACGTCGAACACGTAAATCAGAACCTCGACGTTACGGAAGATGTTGTCTCGCTGGCTGGTGAAGTAATTTTCCATGAAGGTGTCCTGACCGCCACAGTCCCACAGGTTCAGCACCAGGTTGCCCAGAAAACGGACGTGGGAGTGCTCCACATCAATGGTGGCACCCAGGCGCCGGGTGTCGCGAGCGATGTAATTTGCGAAGATAATCGACCTCATGCTGGTCTTCCCCGACCCGCTCTTCCCCATCAACAGCACCTTTTTCTTCATGGCTGTATTTGGCATCACCCGCCGGAGCTGCCGCGGACTGGGCCTCGGGGCGCGGCCTAACTGCAGCGCGCAGGGAGGGAGGGAGGGGCCGGGGCTTGCGGGGACTCCGCCGGCTAGGCCGCACCGCTGTGCGGTCAGGGAGGCCGAAGGTACAGGCTCGGAGCTGCAAAGGCAGCGGCTGCGGAGCTCTTCCTCAGACAGGAGCGCCGTGGGGCGGAGGGCTACAGCCGCTACGGACCAACGCTCGCCTTCCGGAGAGAGGAGTCTCTGCGGCTTTGCTGCCACCCACTTCCGGCGGCGATCTCGCGAGAACCTGCGCGCTCAGCCGTCGCTGCTCAGCCAGGTTTCACAAACCGCTTTTATAATGAAACCCAGCTGGGCCCACCTGAAAAAGAAAATGGAACAGAACCCAGGACTATGGTGTTCTGTCGTCCTATTTAAATCCGTCTTACGGTTGCGAGATGGACGTGTGTGGGCGGTTGGGAGAATGCTGCCATCTCGTGGCCGAAAACCCCGAGCCCACCACTCCGCGCTTCAAGAGCGCGGTGTGCTTTTGGGAGCTTTCAGGCCCGGGCAGCAGACAGGTGAAGCAGAGGAAGGCGGAACGTCTCAGCCCTTTTAGGCATCCCCACATTCCCTGCTTTACTGAGTACAGGGGTAGGACAGATGAAAACTGTACCAAGGAGGAAAATGAGACTCCCAGAAATAAGTGACTGACCAGGGCTACACAGCTGGATGGTAGTAAATCCCTACAGGGAGATATCCTGACTCCGTTAGTGCTTTTCCCACTTGGAAGCAAGTTCATTTCTTACACCTGCTTTTCCGAAAATCTCTTCCTTTAGAATTGATAGTGAGAATTCCAAAGCAATTGTACATTACGTCGGTCCTCACGCTAACCCTATGAATAAATAACCTTATTTTCACGTCAGTGTGTCGAAGCTTATAGGGGCTAAGTAACTACCAAGTTATGCATCTATTAAATGATGAAATGCAATGTGTTTATTTTTAAAATATAAATTGTATGTATTTAAGGTGTACAACGTAATTTGATATACATAGTAAAATGATTACAGTGAAGCTAATTAACATATCTTGTATAATTACCTTTTTTGTGTGTATGTGGAATCTGGAATCTACTCTCTTAGTAAATTTCCAGTATTCAATACAGTGTTAGCTATAGTTATTACGTTGTAGGTTAAATCTCTAAACTTACTCATCCTACGTAACTGCAACTTCGTATCATTTGACGAGTATCTCCCCATTTCCCTCACTTCACCCTGGTAACAACCATTCTCCTCTCTGCTACTATGCATTTTGACGTTTTTACATTCTTCACATAAGTGAGATGATGAAAGCGTTTTTCTTTATGTCTGGCTTATTTCAGTAAGCCTGATGCCTTCCAGTTTCATCCGTGTTGTGCAAATGATAGGATCCCTCCTTTTAAAGGCTGAATATTATTTCACTGTGTATATAAACCACCATTTCTGTTTTAAACATGAACATTTTTATATTGATTTTATGTTTAAAACTTAACACATTTTACAGTTTTCTAAGACAACAAGAATGTTCTCTAATACCATATTCTACAATTGGATGTTGACGTAGATTTTAGCTAAAATATACCAACAGTAGAATTCCCACTGTCCCTTAGAGAAGTTGAATTTTTTTATTTTGAGCAATTAGTTATTTAAATTCTTCTGGTACTTATATTGGATTTTGGTGATTTTTTCTATCCAGTTTTTTTTGAGATATACTTGACATATAACATTGCATTAGTTTTAAGTGCACAACATAATGATTTGCTATACATACATATTGCCAAACTATTGCCATAATAAGTTTAGTTAACACTCATCCCCTCACATAGTTACAATTTTTTTCTTGTGATAATAAGTTTTGAGATCTACCCTTAGTAAATTTCAAATATACAATACAGTATTGTTAACTATAGTCACCATGCTGCACATTTACATGACCAGAACTTGTTTATCTTATAAGTGGAAGTTTGTTCCCTCTGACCACCTTCACCTATTTTGCCCACCCTCTAACCTCCACCTCTGGCAACCACCAATATGTATCTGTGAGTTTCTCTTTTTTTGAGATTCCACATATAAATTAGATCATACAGGATTTGTCCTTCTCTGTCTGACTTATTTCACTTACATAATGCCTTCAAGGTCCATCTATGTCATTGCAAATGTCAGGATTTCCTTCATTTTTATGGCTGAATTTTCTCTCTGATATATATTGATATATTGATATCAATCACATTTTCTTTATCCATTCATGCACCAGTGGACACTTAGGTAGATTCCATGTCTTGGCTGTTGTAAATAATCCTGCAGTGAACATTGTGGGTGCAGATATCTTTTAGAGATAGTGATTTCATTTCCTCTGGATATATACCTAGGAGTGGGAATGCTGGGTCATATGGCAGGTTTTTCCTCCTTTATTCATTTGTTTTAATTAATTATTTAATTATTTAATTGAAGTATAGTCAGTTACAATATGTCAGTTTCTGGTGTACAGTATAATGTCCCAGTCATACATATACATACATATATTTGTTTTCATTTTCTTTTTCATTAAAGGTTATTACAAGATATTAAATATAGTTCCCTGTGCTATACAGAAGAAATTTGTTTTTTAATCTATTTTTATATATAGTAGTCAATATTTGCAAATCTCGAACTCCCAAATTTATCCCTTCCCACCTTCTTTCCCCAGTAACCATAAGATTGTTTACTATGTCTGAGAGTCTGTTTCTGTTTTGTAGATGAGTTCATTAGTGTCTTTTTTCTTTTTTTAGATTCCACATATGAGCGATATCATGTGGTATTTTCTTTTTCTCTTTCTGGCTTCACTTAGAATAATAATCTCCAGGTCCATCCATGATGCTACAAATGGCATTATTTCATGCTTTTATATAGCTGAGTAGTATATCATTGTAAAAATATACCACAACTTCGTTATCCAGTCATCTGTCGATGGACATTTAGGTTATTTCCATGTCTTGGCTATTGTTTATAGTGCAGCTATGAACATTGGGGTGCATGTGTCTTTTTGAATTACAGTTCCCTCCAGACATATACCCAGGAGTGGGATTGCTGGATCATATGGTAAGTCTGCTTTTAGTTTTTTGAGGAATCTCCATACTGTTTTCCGTAATGGCTGCACCAAAATACATTCGCACCAGCAGTGTAGGAGGGTTCCCTTTTCTCCACAGCCTCTCCAACATTTATCATTGATGAATAATGGCCATTCTGACTGGTGATACCTCATTGTAGTTTTGATTTGCATTTTTCTGATAATTAGTGACACTGAGCATTTTTTCATGTGCCTATTGGCCATTTGTGTGTCTTCATTGGAGAACTGCTTGTCTAGGTCTTCTGCCCATTTTTGGATTGAGTTGTTTGTTTCTTTCTGTTATTAACTTGTATGAGCTGTTTATATATTCTGGAAATTAAACGTTATCAGTTGCATCATTTGCAACTATTTTCACCCATTCCATAGGTTGTTGTTTTGTTTTGCTTGTGGTTTCCTTTACTGTGCAAAAGCTTGTAAGTTTTTTGAGGTCCCATTTGTTTATTTTTGCTTTTATTTCTATTGCCTGGGTAGACTGCCCTAGGAGAATGTTGCTGAGATTTATGTCGGATAATGCTTTGCTTGTGATTTCTTCTAGGAGATTTATAGTGTCTTGTCTTATATTTATCCTTTAAGCCATTTTGAGTTTATTTTTGTATATGGTGTGAGGGAGTGTTCTAACTTCATTGATTTACATGTTGCTGTCCAGTTTTCCCAAAACCACTTTTTAAGAGACTGTCTTTTCTCCATTGTATATTTTTGCCTCCTTTGTTGAAGATTAATTGAGCATACGCTGTGGGTTTATTTCTGGGCTCTCTATTCTTTTTCAGCAGTGAAGTAATCTGGATCTGGATTTCTCTTTGTTTGGAGATTTTTGATGACTACTTTAGCCTCCTTGTGTGTTATTGGTCTGTTCAGGCTTTCTATTTCATCTTGGTTCAGTCTTGGTAGGTTGTATGTTTTGAGAAATTTATACGTTTTTTAAATAGTTAATCCAGTTTACACACATATAATTATTTATAATAGTCCCTTGTGATCCTTTTTATTTCTGAGACATTCATAGTAATATCTCCTCTTTCATTTCTGATTTTATTTGAATTTTCTCTCTTTTTAGTCTAGTGACAGGTTTGTTGATTTCATGTTTTTCAAAAAAAACCAACTTAAGTTTTGTTGCTGTTTTCCCCTATTCTCTATTTGACTTATTTCTGCTCTGGTCATTGTTATTTCCTTTTTTCTGTTAACTTAGTTTTAGTTTCTTTTTCTTTTTCTTTTTTCTAGTTCCTTGAGGTGTAAAGTCAGGTTGTTTGAGATCTTTTTTTTAAATGTAAGTGTTTATTATTACTTCCTTCTTAGTACTGCTTTTGCTGCATCCCCAAAGAACAATTGTTTTTGCTTTTGTTTGTTTCAAAATATTTTTGAATTCTCTCTTGGTTTCCTGTTGGATCTAGTGATTATTCAAGAGTGTGTTGTTTAGGTTCCATGTATTTGTGAATTTTCCTGTTTTCTTACTTTATTGATTTCTAGTTTCATTACATTCTGATCAGAAAAGATTCTTGGTATGATTTTGTTTTTAAACTTGTTAAGACTTGTTTTGTGATCTAATGTGATTTATCCTGAAGAATGTTCTGTGTGCACTTAAGAAGAATGAGTGGATTCTTCTGCTGTTGGGTGAAAAGTTCTTATATGACTATTTGATTTATAGTGTTGTTCAAGTCCACTGTTTATTGATTTTGTGCCTGGATGTTCTGTCTGTTATTGCAAGTGGGGGATTGAAGTCTCCTACTATTATTGTATTGATGTCAATTTCTCCTTTCAGGTATGTCAATATATGTTTTGTATATTTAGGTGCTCTGAGGTTAGATGTGTATGCATTTATAACTGTTATATATTCCTGCTGAGCTGACGCTTTTCTCATTATGTAATGACCTTCTTTGTCTTTAAAGACAGTTTTTTTGTTTGTTTGTTTTGACTGAAAGTCCACTTTGTCTGATAGAATTATGGCCACTCCTTTTTTTTGTTTTGTTTTATTTTATTTTGTTTTGCTTTTTTTGTTACCATTTGCTTGGAGCATCTTTTTCCATTCCTTCACCTTTAGCCTATTTGTGTTCTTGAACTTAAAGTGAGGTTCTTATAGACAGCATACAGTTAGATCTTGGTTTTCTTATTCTTTCAGCTACTCTGTATTTAGTCTATTTACATTTAAAGTAATTTTTGATAG